GGGGGTTGGGGGGGGGGGCGGCAGCCCCCCCATGATGATCGAAAAATTAGGGGCAATCAATCTAAGAAGTAGCGGTCGCATGATGATCGAAAAAGCGATGAGTCAATTAGGGGCAAAAAGTCGGGGGGGATGATGATTGAAAAATTCAATGGGCCAAAAAAAAAAAAACAGCGGGGGGCATCGGTGCCTCTGCGGCAAGGCCTCATGGAAAAAGTGAGGATCACATACGGGCAAACTAATCCCTGTAAAACGGCAGCCAAAGAATCTAAAAAGTAGCTGTCGCATGATGATCGAAAAAGTGATGAGTCAATTAGGCGTGTATTTTAATCGAAAGGGGAGCGGCGGGGGGCAAGAGAGGAACTTGCGATGCTGAGGATGCAGGAAGCCAAGCAGAGGATGCGAAAAGCCAAAGCCAGAAAGCCGCCAAAAGCCACAAAGCCAAAAAGCCAAAAAGCCAGCGGAACTGGCAATGCAGAGGATGCGAAAAGAGAGGAACTGTGAATGCAGAGGATGCGAAAAGCCACAAAAGCCACAAAAACCCACGTAAAAGCAACAAAAGCCAAAAAGCCGAAAAGCCACCCACCCTGAAAAACAAAAAAATATCCTTACAAAAAAAACGAGAAAACAAAAATGGCCCTCTTTTTGCAATGGCACATGCAAAGCGCCGGAGCAGTCACGAGCACAAGCCATCCCTGTGAAGGCTTTCCATCCACTCTCTCATTTATAAACTTGCAAAATGCGCACCAAGCGTTCGCAGCTGCGATGTGCTGCACAAAGCTGCCAGGGCAGCAAATCTGCGCAGGCCGATAGACTCACATTGCACCACTACTACCTTACTCAAGTGAGCACAAGTGTCAAGCCAGCCTGCTTCCGGGAAGAAGACAAGGCGGGTGTCTTTCAGCTCACTCACTGGCAAGCTTTCATCGATTGCCTGAACACTCCAAGCCGCAGAAATGGCCACGTGACCACCTCAACCACCAAGCTCAACGCCCGCTGGCCTCTGGGTCGCCTCGGCAATAGAAGGAGCCCCCGGGCTCCGCCCCGACACCTGCGCGCATTTCGATGGGTGAGACACAACGCGGCCTTTGCGTTTGTGGCCCAAAAGCATTTGCCTTTTCGCTCCAGAGCCGCTCGCCGAGACATCGGCGCTAAGCCCTGGCGTTGGACGCTTCGGGCCCAGCAGCAAGTCCAGCATCACTGGAGACGGAATGAAAGTTGATGCAGCCGGCTCAGGCTTGACAGCTTTGAAGACACCCGACAACAAGCAGCCCACCACAGGATGGGTAGCATAAATGACACCCAGTTGACGCTCACGCCCATCTAGGAAACCATTGCTCGTAAGCAGCTGCATGCAGCGTTGTGAGATCCGCCTCTCGCGTCCAAAGCTGCTCGCCAACAACGGCATAGCCGAGGCTTTGCAAAGGAGCGGGCGTTCACCGATGAGGCGCTTCTCTGCAGCTTCTTGAAGGCGAGGTAATCCCAAGATTGCAGCCGCGCGCAACACCTCCAATGCGTGCAAAGCATCCTCGACTGTCTTAGGGTCCTGCGAAGCTTTGGAGATCGGCCGCGTGCCTTCGGTGGTCCAGAGCTCAGGCTGATATTCGTTTGCACCTGGCCCAGCCAAAGCAAATCGGAGCGCAGCAAGCAAGGCGCCACAACTCAGTCCCGCTGTGCTCAGATCAACGGCAGCGCTTCCATCGGACTCCGGTGACATCATGGACCGTACTGCCGGCAGCCGAGATAATACTTCGGCACCATTTTTAACGTGAACTTGCCCAGAGCCCAGGTTGAAGTCTATGGCAATGCACTTCTTCTGCTTAGCCTCCAGAGACCCCCACAAGCTCGGTCCGTGTGGTGCCTTCGTCTTCCGTCCTTCCAGAATCGCCTCCCACTCGCTTGCTGCATCTCTGGCGCGCTTCGTTCCTTGCGCTGCTTGTGTGTCAGTCGGCTCAAACTCGCCCCAAACCATTGGCTTCCACTCAGCTGTGTTGGAATATCATTTAGCATGCTGGCTGATTCTGACGAGATACTTGTATGAAACACCTGGGCTGCTCCACTGATCGTAGTAAGCAAACAATGCTAAACAGGCCCACAAATACACGTTGTAGCTAAAGGCTGGCGAGCTCATGGTTTGCTTTGTTTGCACATGCAAAACAAACGGAATGCATACACCAAGCAGCACATCAAACATCATAGAAATGTCCATGCCACACTCAGCTGCCGGAGGGCCTGATACAAACAAATTGCTCCGCACGTCCTGCATTGTTGCCTGCAGGCGATTCGATCCCTCAAAAAGAAATGCAGCAATCAAGCCTGGCAAGCAACGCGCATTTTCACTGGTACCTGAGCTGCTTCGTGATGGCTCCACGATGCCAAAGAGGGCGCTGGTGAGTCATTCTGACAGAAGCAGACTGGGCCTCCAACCGTGATTACAACCTTTGTCATCGCCTTGGGTCCCATGTCATGCTGCAAAACTGCTGAGCGCAAGAAAAGTGCTCTGCGAGAAACGATCCGCACACCCGTCTTCCCAAAAACAGGAAGCGCCTGTGGGAGACATAGAACCCGCACTGATAGCCCAAACTCCCCAGCACGTATTGCACACGCAGATTGGGGATGCTGGGGATGTTGCCTATTCAGCTTCATGTTGCGTTGCCTGCACTGCTTTAACGGCACCTTCTGGGGATCGAGGGTTTTCCATGCTGAACACTGGGAAAACGAATGGCTTTGACGAGGCAAGTCAAAGCTGCTTTGCGTGGCAGCTGGCCCAGAGCTCGCCTTGCGCATGCGAAAGCGCAGCCTGCGCTAGCAAAACCAAAGCAAGATTGGCTGCAGCCTGCGTGGCCCAAAGCTTTCACGCGCAGCCGGCGCAACAACTTCGCCCGACGCCGGAGCGTGCGCAGAGAGCCGCTCAGAGCCGCTTGCGCGCAACTGCGTCTCGCGGAACAATCTCCTGAAGCAGGTTTCTCTTGCCAAGGCGCTGCCTGCTTGGCTTCTAAAACTTAATAAGGAGCAAGAGGGAGCAGAAATGAAGTTCAGGGTCGCGGTGCTGCCGCGGGCAGTTGTGCGTTAGCAACACAAGTCCTATGCAGTGAATTGTGGGAGTCTGGGATGCTGCAATTGCAACATGGTGGCTTGGAAATAGAAAGCACCTTTACAAGTCAGTGGAACTTGACATGTTCAAGCTCGAGGCAGTGTCTTTCTGAGGCAGTGTCAGGGACTGGCGTTGCTGGCAAAGGTGGCATCACAGCTCCTGCGGCGAAGTCAAGCTCTACACTCTGCAGCTTCTCAGTGCGGTCCAGGAGCAGGCGGCTTGGGAAGCGGGACCTGGCTTGAGACAAAGCGGCTCGAACCAAAAATCCAAATTGACTTGCTAGACGAAGGGCGAAGGGCGCGGGGGCTGCAGGGACTGGCACTGGTGCTGTTTCGGGCGCAGGCTCCTTGGCACGGCACAGCAATTCAGCATTGAGCTTGAGCGCGGTTGCACCAGCTGCAAGACAAGAGTGGCAAAGGAAGTAGCGACAAAGGCTACTGAGGAAAGCAATGCCAGGCCACAGGTCTGTCAGCCGCCGCTTCTATTTCCACTGCAATCAGTGCATATTTGCGCGCGACAACAAACATGCGAAAAGAAGCCATGCCAAAACAACCGCTGATCATGACTTTCAATATTAACCCCTTTGAAAATTCCGAAACCAGGAGCCCCACCAATGCAGGCTCAAACATTTCCTCGCAGGGGCACACAGAAACACCTGCAGCTCTTGAGATGAAGTCCTGTCCTGGTTGCCAGTGTGGCTGCCACTCCTGACAAAATTAAGAATGATCCTCATGTCAAGCTGCCCTTAAGGCTCGCGCCCCGGCCATGCTTGCTCACCATTTGTGCCTCTGCAGGTCTCAGGTTTGACAGGCAAACAAAAGGTCCCTGCTTCCAGCTTCTTGGACAAATTGTTCAGGTCCGCACAAATCGAAGGGTGCTCCAAGATATTCATCATGTTGCACCATGTGGCCCATGAATTGGTGGTCTCCCCTCCCTTCGAAACAAACCCTATAACCCTTCGAAACAAACCCTATAACCCCATCTTGACATTCTCCTTTGCGAATTCGCTCTCACGGATGCAGTGCACGCACATCTCTGGTCTGCCTTTGACTGGCTCTGCTTCCTCTCCAGGAAAGTCTTCACCTTCCTGTGCAAATTTTGTGAGCAAAAGAGCACATGCTGTGCCCTGCATGCAGGCAGCACATGTCCTCGTTTGGCTTGGCGGCCGGCCTTTCAAGGGCACTCCTTACATGCACTCTGTGAGACTGCGCACCTCGGATTGGCCAGAAAAGCTGCTTGCGTTCTTGCATTCGCAAGTTCCGTCCTCCGCCTAGATCTTGACCGTGAGGCCAAAGCTGACGGCATTGCAGACCAGCATTGGAAATGTGGACACTAATTCTGATGGTTGCTGGAAATGATTTAAAACAACACTAACTGAATGGCCCAACAGGCTTTGAGTGGCTCCCTGAGAACGTGATCAGTGCTTGGACTTTCTTGTCATGTTAAAGCTGCGGGTAGTACTGTGAGGCTATGATCTAAAAAGTGCGTCGCTCTGTGCGCAGCAGCTTGCACTTCTGGTGTTTTGCCTCGAGGCCGAGCACGCAGCCTGACATCCCATTCCTTTGCCCATATAATTCATTGTCCGTTGCTTCTGGATGCATCAATCAAGAAGCCACTTGGCTGTGCAGCCGCCGTCCGGCACAAAGCCGCAAGGCCACAAGCACATGCACCCAAGTGCTTAAGTGAGACCTGTAGGCGAGCGGCACCGTGCTTTGTGTGCTGCCACGCAAAAGGCTAGCTACATTATTCAATGTGCTTGAATTTGACTGCAAACACTCAGGTCGTTTGTGGCCCCCATTTGCAGCCTCCTCAAGGCAGAAACGTGGGAGGCCTTGCCTGGAGGCGACTTTGAAGCCTCTCGCCCCTACGCGAAAATAACACATCTGATCACGCCACCGAAGCCAGCCAAAATGCTGCGCAGGTCTAATGGCGAGCAGCGAGCCGTGCACAAGTGCTCGGTCGTTGCCGGCCAGATCCTCAGTGCAAATCCAGGTCTTCCATCACTTGCGCTTTCGCGTGTGTGCAGTGCTCTCTGTGGCATGAGTCATGGCAAGCATGCGGCATGCGCAATAAATGCGTATTGTTGCAAGACAAGAAACGGTAACCTGCACATGATGCCTCATAGTGCATCGTCCTCGTCGTGCCTCATCTTACAGCCTCTCGATCCACAGGAACGGATAAGGCCGAAGTTCTCCTGAGTCATTCAACAAGAATGTCCGCTCTCAGGTTGGATCACTAGCTGCAAGCATACCATGCAAGGAATTCGATATGCTTTTCTCGCCAGTCCTTGTCCCCGAAATTGATCGCATCCCGCAGCGTGAAAAAGAAGGCATGGTCTATGCCGTGGACCTTGCGAAGGCAGATGGAAGGCCTACTGCTTACCGCTGTCACTTTCGCCCATTCAGCGTTTGAGTCTTGGCATCTGCACAAAAGCCATGTAATGCATCAAAGTCGCATTGGGCCCAAGCGATAGATCCCATTCCAAAAAACCCTGGTAGTACAAAGCAAACGCTTCTTTGGTGGACCATTCCTTAAGTGCACAGGCAGCGTCAGAAACAAACATCCAGGAAATCTGCAATGCCAAATAATGATTATACACGGCAAGGCGCGGTACAGTTTTGCATATTCGTCCGCAAAGTGGAAGCTCTTGGATAAGACCATCCAGTTTCTGTTAGCCTGAGATAGTATATGTCCCAAAGGCTGGATTCATCGTGTGCCTCCCATGAGAATTGTCCTAACTGCCAGCTGGTAAGTCACCACACTGCTTTCACTGGTGCCTTCTTCCGTTTCTCTGATTGATGTAAGGTGCAAAGCTATGCTTCAACCAACCAATCTCGCAGGGTTCATTGAGTCCTTTTCGAGATGCTAGGTCATCAAGTGAGCACTCGCATTGCTGATTCGTCCAGACAAACGAAAAGGAGTTCACATATCCGGCTTTGTTCGGGGGATCCGACTGCATAAGCTTTCTGTATGGCTCTCCTTCAACTCCTGGCTCGAAAGGTTCACGTACGAGCCTGCGAGAGGTTCTGAGGGTCCTCTACTTTCCGCTAGCTTTAATCCTGTCACATTCGTGGAAGCCAGTGTGTCGTCGAAGTTTGAAAATTGAGCTGCAGCTTGCGAGAAAGTGCTGAACCCTCCCCCCCAACAAATGCGGTGCTCTTTTTAGTGCTCGCCCACCCCGGCCCTCGCAGAACCTCGTGGAACCCTAGTGGAACCCTGGTGCAACCCTCGTGGAACCTTACCTCAGGGCTGCCCAGGACCACTTCGGAGCCTATCTGGGCTGAGACCCCAAAGCTTTCAGCTGTTGGGGAGAAAACATAAGAAGCCTGTAGCAAGCCATGCCTGCTGCCCGAGGCCGGTACCACATTGTGTCATCAGGTCTACCAGTGACCATCTGCATTCGGGTCCTCGCAGTCCAAAAACAAAAACCGCCTTTTGACTTGGAGGACTCCTCAGCTCCCGAAGCTGCCCTGGCAGCATGCTGCCTCAGCTCCCATGCGCGCGAGGCCAACATCTGGGCGATCCCTTGGTGGAGCCAGGCAGAACAGACCTCCAGGTCTCTGGAATCAAGGGTTGGCCATTGCGATTCCCTCAAGGGACCAAGATGTTGCAATGGAACAGCTCCTCAACAACTTCGTCACGCCCGCTGCTTTCCGAGGATCTTGGAGCAAAGTTGATGGCTGCCATCATCGCTTTGTTGCAGGTGTGGAAAATCCCCTGCCACGACGCAGAACGGGCAACGCTTGCCACGAAAAGCTTGGGAACACTCGCCTCATCCATTACAATGTGAGGATCAAAGTATGGATACCTCAGGATGCATTTACGGCGCTTGCCCAACAGGGCGGAGGGCAAACATCTTTAGTCAAGTGACGTGTTCCAAGACCAAGCCCACCGAGTACCAAAATCTCGATTGATCTTCTGAAAGAAGTCCAACACACCAGCTGTCCTCAAGCAGGCATGCTTCTAAGCCAAAATACTTGAGGGCCAGTCCGATTGCAAGCAAGCAGCTCGGAATTTACAAAGGGCGAACCGCCTCGCGCGATGCGATTCGTCAGGGCGAACCGCATATCGCCCGACCTAGGACATAGCCACCCATGACGGTGGTCAGCGTCACATCCTGGAAGCCCTGCATGACCTTCACAAAGCACAGAGTTGAAGTTGGTCGATCTTGGCCCACGCTGAGCGTGGCGCGGCCAAATCATTTGCTCGATGCATAACCTTTTTGTAGAAGTACCTTGGCGGGAAAGTGGCAACAAGGCCACGGCACCCGAAGTGGGTGTGTCTTTTGTTGAGGGTGCGCATTTTTCTGGTTGTAAAGGAAAACCAAAGGGAGACCAACCTTGTTGGTTGGCCCCTAAAAACAGACACACCCAAGATTTCAAATGACCCAAGCACACGCAGTACATGATTGCTCTCAGAAAAATGCCTGCATCAGCCAGAGGGCCCGCCATGGAATAGCCGCTTCGCACATTTTTTGTCGCATACGTCCCTTAGCTTTCAGAAAGCTGCAGCTCATCCCCGAAAATCCATTCAATAGCAAAGCATACCGACACCAAGTGAGTTTGAACGTGGCAAAAAGAGCTGCCCGCGCATGTTCAAAGAATATTGGTCTTGGTCTGGACAGCCTCTTCCCCACGACCAGGGCATGTCAGGGGAAGCAGGGACTTTGTTTACAAACCAAATCGGTGTTCAACTTCGGCAAGACACAACAGCTTGTGAACTTCTGGTCGTCAGGCGCATTGCAAGCGACAAAGTCAGAGACATCTGACTGCCCCTGTGGACTTTTGCAAAGGTTGAGCGTCGTTGAGTTGATTGCTCAAACAAAAAGCACGTGCTGTCCCTCAAAAGCTTGCTTTCGTCGCTCTGGCCGGATCGCAAGTGCGCAAATGCGCTAGTCGAGGTTGGCAGGAATCCGCCGGACTGAACGAGTCAACCATGTCAACAACTTGAGCTGTCGTGAACCTTTGAAGTCCCTGCGCAGAGATCGCAGTCACCACGCCATGGGTGCACAGCGGGCTATGCTGTCCGTGGATTTGCGTGAAGTCTGTGCCGAATTCTCACGTTCTTTCATGCCAGGCTTTGCCGAGCTCCCAAGAAGGCCGAGCCGCTGGGTGTGAAGCAATTCCACTTCATTCCCAATTGCCAGTCCCATGACGTGCTCTCTACCTGAAGGTTGCTCTTTCAAACGGCAGAGTCAAAGTAGATGATTCAAGACGCCTATGAAAAACATGAGCTCTTTGATGTAGATCCAGTCGAGGTCATCAGCTGTCTCATTGCAGGAGATCTGGGTTCCATAGAGCACTTTGACATTGTTTCCTCAGCAGCCACAAGCAGTTCAACTGCACAAATCCTCAAAGCAGCAAAGTATGGGCGGGCACAGAGGTCCGTTAGGATGCCAGAACAATGTTGCATGCCAAGCCTCTTTGAATGAAATTCTTGAGCTCCTTCCACACAGTCAAACCTGGGGCACAAGGCACCAAAATAATATCTTGTCTGACGCTGCAACGAAAATGCAGTGCACTGTCTAAGCTTGAAGCGGTCAAGGTGATCTGACCACTTTTCGTCCCATGCTTTGAAGAGACGCAAAGACGTGATCTTTTCCTCGAGTAGCAACTCATACCTCTCATACAACACAACACCCGCAGTCAACACTACAAGAATAGCCATGCGTGAGAAGCGGCTTTGGCATTGGGCCACCGTTTGGTGGTCAGCTGCGGGCACTCAGAGAAAGTTGTGTCGTCCAAGGCAATACCCTTCTTCTCGGCATGTTTCACCGGGCCCAGGAACATGTTACCTAGGATATGTGCACGGCATCGCGGCATCGCGGAAGCGGAACAATAAAGTCACAACCCTGGAAGCACACGCAGTGTGAATCTTTCAATTGCAAAGCAGCTCAAGCATTCAAATCCATCTCCTGCTGGAGGATATTTCGCAGTAGTGGTGGTAGTCATTGACGTGGAAGTGTGGCTCGTGTGTGTGGATGTCCGTGTTGTTCGTGTGGAGCTTGTGGTCGAAGTAGCCTCAGGGCTTCCCAAGCTTGCAACTGCAACGCGTATACAACTTGTGGGCTGTACATTGAGGCGGGTTAAGGCAAGCAAATTGTTATGCCTTGCATTGTGACCCTGTTGGTACCTTTCAGCGACAATGTGATGGTGTGCGGAATCATTGAAACATAATCCATGAGGCAATGTGCAAACGTCGTTCATGTTATTCCAAGCATCTGCAAAACTGGTTGCCTGCTTGCGGAAACAAACAGTTACACACGCAAACACGCAACACACAGACACCTGCACATCTAAGCCCGCAGCGGTGAAAGTTGATGTTGTCATAGTCATGGTTGAGGAAGTTGTGGTGTTTGTCTGCCCAAAAAATAAATGCCCTCATGAACCTGATTCAAACAAGAAGGCACCAGGCCTTCACTGCAGGCCTCAGATAAGTGTGCACTGGAAAATATGCAAGGCTAATCTCTTTGATGACTGACTGATTGATTTTGGCAATAGCCCGGGAGTGTCTATCTGACCCTATCTCACTTGAAGCAACTGGGTGTGCACATCCTCTAAAAGCACCACGTGGCAGCAATTCTTCTCGGCACCGCGCCCGCCAAAGTGGAAGAAGTCAAAGCCCCCTCCTGGTTGCACAAAAAAATGGTTAGGCTGTCAGACGGAATTCGATTGACTCAGAAATTGGTCAGCCTGAGTCTCCATGCCCACGCGTCACCTCAGCGTACGTAAACGGTCACCTTGAAGTTTCCAAAAGACGACGTATGTCTGAGGATGCATCCAGATTTTTCAGATTGCCCGCCTGAGCCGAACTGGACGAGTTCTTGACACAGTCTAAGGGCGCACAGCGCCTCTGAGGACACCAGTGGACTCAAGTAGGTGCCAGCACCGAAAGCGGCCACGATGCCAAGCGCCTGGAGCACATTCCCCTGAAATGAAGCGAAATGTCAGCCAGTGCTGAGAAGTGTGCTAACAGCGCTGCTTTCAGCATGGAACTTGAGGAGGTTGGTGCACTAGCTGGACTTGCTCCTGGCGTCATGGTCATTCGTGCAGCCGCAGTTTCATTCAGCTTCTTGCTGGTCCTCTGAGCTGTTCGCTAGTTTTCGTCTTCAGCTTAAATCGCAAAACAAAGCCTTTAGTCAAATGCAGGTGTTTGCTTCTAATTTCCTGGATTCTCAGCTTGCATGTTCTTCCTTGCATGTTCTTCCTTGCATGCTTTGCTGTGTTGCCTGTGGCTTTCAAGGCATCTAGTAAGCTCCAGTCCTGTCCCCGTCAAGGGCAAAGATGCAGCATCGCTGGCGTTTTCTCGCGCGCCAGAAGCCATCAAGGGGCTCGCCTGAACAGGAGAGAAACAATGCACAGCTGAACTCACTCACGAGCAAGGAATGCTTGAAGAATGCCAAAAATAGAACTGGCCGCGCCTCTTGCCTACTAGCAGTTGCAGCAACATCCCCAGCGCCACTTTCAGTTCTAAGTGGGGTCGACTCCGCCACACTGTCAGCTCTAAGTGGGGTCGACTCTGCCATGGTAAGGCAGAGGGCCCAGTGGCTGCAGATGCGTTTGCAGGCTTTTAGGCCGGCTTCAACATGAATATGCAAGTCTTCACATACATGACATGATAAATTGAAGCATCCCTCTCGCAAAGCTTGTTACGAAAACCTAACGATGATGCTGGTCGCACACCTGGGAAAACTGCTCAAGCTTGCGCCTTATCTGGCCAGTAAGCTGAACAAAAATCAGTTATGCCTCTGCAAGCGCCTTGGAGTCATCCAAGGTGGCCACTCCAGGCAAAACCTTGCCTTCCAAAAGCTCCAAGGAAGCACCACCACCTGTGCTGCAGTGGGAGACCTTGTCCACGGTGTCGTACTTCTTGCAGGCCGTGGCGGTGTCGCCACCTCCGATCACCGAGACGGCACCCTCCTTTGTGACCTCCACGATGGTCTCCATCATCTGCTTGGTGCCCTTCTCAAAGGAAGCCATCTCGAACACACCCATAGGGCCGTTCCACACGATGGTCTTGGACTTCTTGATGGCCTCATCGTTCATGGCAATGGACTTGGGGCCAATGTCCAGGCCCAGGAACCCATCCGGCACGCCGGTGCTCATGTCGCCATCCTTGATCTCTCCATCCTCGCCAAACTTAGAAGAGCACACGAAGTCCACAGGCAGGATCAGCTCCACACCCTTCTCCTCCGCCTTCTTCCTGATCTCAGGCACCAACTTGGCGCCCTCCTCATCGTACAGAGAATCGCCGATGTCCACGCCAGCCTCCTTGATGAAAGTGAAGGCCATTCCACCTCCAATGATCATGATGTCCACCTTGTCCAGCAGGTTCATGATCAGCTGAATCTTGTCCGCCACCTTGGCACCACCCAGGATACCGCACACCGGCCTGGTGGGCGCATCAACGACCTTGGCAAAGTAGTCCAGCTCCTTGGCGAGCAGGAAACCAGAGCACTTCACAGGGAAGCCCTCACCCACCATGGAGCTGTGTGCTCGGTGCGCCGTTCCGAACGCATCGCTGCAGTAGATGTCTGCCAGCTTGGCGAGGGAAGCACGGAATGTCTTCACCTGCTCATCATCAGCCTTGACCTTGTTGCCATCCGCGTCTTTTCCCTTGCCCGTCTCCTCAACATAGAATCGGGAGTTCTCCAACAAGATGACAGTGCCCGGCTCAGGATCCGCGCACGCAGCCTCAACATCCTCTCCAATCACATCCTTCATGAGCTTCACTGGCCTGCCCAGCTTCTCCTCCACCACCTTGGCAACTGGTTTCATGGAGAACTTGTCGCTGAACTGGTGCAGTGTTCGTGATGATGTTGGGATCCTGCTTGTCCTGCGGCACGTTAAAGTCCACCCGAATGAAGACGCGCTTGTCCTTGAGGTCAACCTCGTCGATCTTCAGCTTGGCCAGCGACCTGCATGCCACCACATTCTGGGCGGCCCTCGGCTTGATGCACTTGCGACGAGAGGCCGCCGCTGCGCCACGGATGGCGGCCACGCTCAGTCCTCCAACAGCCAGGGCACCGCCCAGGCCCTGGGCAGCAGAAGAGGTAGCACCAGAAGGAGCAGACGACGACAAAAACCTCTGGCTTGAGGTGGCAGACACCTGCGACTCTGTGCCAACCGGTGCAGCGCCTGGCGCCACAAACGCAAGGCCGCCCAATGCTGCGGCGCCGAGCACCGAGCCAACTGCCACCTTGGAGGATCGCGCCATGGCGTTTCAAGTCGGTCGTCGCGTTTCTGTGGTGTTCCTATTCTGAGAGCCAGAGGCCAAACAATACGTCATGCAGCAACATATTTATGTGAACACATCGGGACATGACGAAATATTTAAAGTTATCTAAACCCGAGAGTCATGCTATGACAGGCCTTAAAAAACAGTAGCGGCGAGGGCGCGCGGTCACGCGCGCGCGCTATGCGCAGTGTACGCGCGGCGCGCGCGCGGCGTGCGCGCGGTGAGCGCGCAACAAGCGCGCAATGAGCGAGCAGCGCGCGAGCGGTGCGCGGGGGCACGCGCGGAATGCGCGCGGCGAGCGCGCAACGAGCCAGCGACGCGCGAGAAGTGAGCGGCGGCGCGCACGAATCCAAAAGTCTCTAGCTGGTTCAGGGCGTTTGCTTGGTTTTGAAGAGTTGGTCGGAGCCGGCGCTATACGCAAACAGTAACAAGACCGACGCAAGATGAGGGCATCGTGCGAGCTCAAAGACAGAAGAAGTCGACCACTGGTGGTCGAAGAAAAGTAGCCCAGGTTCCACACTTAAGGTGTTGCAAGTTCAAGGTTGCTCCTAGCAAAACTCATCCAAAGATGGAGTGACAGGTGTTTCAAGTTGCAGCTGGTTCCAACCAGCATTACCAGTTGCAAGCGCAAGTCGTTAAACAATGAGTCAAGCAAGTCACAAGTTGGGGCTGCTCCACCCATGAGTGTCATCATCTCATCAGAGTTGACGTGATGTCCATATTTGCATTTTGGCAACTTGTGGCCGTAGCAGGTTATTTCTATATCAGCCATGAGTCCGGAAGAAAAAACCATGAATCAGGAATCGTTGCGCGTGATGGATCAGTCATGGGCCTGACTCACCCTCAGCGCCAATAGCAGTTTTGGCCCAGTTTGTCTTTGGAAATCAGATCACGATCGGATTGATATGAGTTTGACACGCGCCCGCAGGTCTCTGCGCTGGCCAAATGTGGTCAAATAGGAAGCTTGCGCACTGTGCGTTCAGGCCCCAGTCAGTTAAGCAGCTTAAGCAGCGTGCGTCTATGAAGTTGGCCACGATTGTTCAGGGCACAAGCCCGCCGTTCCTGAGGATGATGTCAGTCTCAATGTCAGTCACCGCCACTCTTTTACCGCACGCCCTTCTGCAACAAGCCCTGGTGGCTTGCCATAAGCACCGCGGTGACTCCTATGGTGCACCGGGTGTACGCGTGCGAGATCTAGAGGCTGAGAGAAGCACCTGTGAACATTTGGGAACGGACGGAATAGTTGACTGGTGCCACCTTCGTTTCAACTTAACTGGAAACTTCACTTTTGACTCTTGACGGTTGAAAGAGTGAACTTCAAACAAACCAACTTTGCGAGATCGCCGCAAGCAAAGTCATGTGATGTAATGTAACGCTACTTGACCTGCGTCGCACCGATTGGTCCATGACCAGTGTCAGTGTCACTCGTGACATGACTCATGACTCATGCCCCACATCAAACAAACTCGAGCGATTGGTGCGCCAGCAATCTTGTTTTTTGTTGGGTGTCGCAGGTAGCCCAGCATTACGTTGGAAGGGGCCACCGCATGGTGGTTCCGGTCGGCCAGTTTGATTGGGTTGCTCAACATCATGAGTCGCATGAATCACGATGACTAACATAGGGGCGTAGGGCGCGGCGAAGGTTTTCCCCTAGTTGTAGATTGCGGACGCGGATTCGGACTCAGCTGAGTTTGGGCAACCCAGGAACACTACCGACTGCGTGTGAATCGGATCTGCGAATCAGTGAATTAGTGCACCGGTAATTCGACGATCCTGAAATGGGCCATGAGTGTTCGGTTTTTGAAGCTTGCCGCCTTTCCGCTTGCAATAGCTCATGCGCTAGATGTTGCCCCGTGTGAGCCAGTGCGCAACAAACAGCTGTATATAATTGGGTGGAAACCACCTGCCAATTGACGACACAAGTAGTAGCTTGCGAGATGTGTTGTTCGAAATTTTGACTGGCCCTTGCGCGGCAACACGGCAGCATCGTTCAAGTCACATGATTCTGCAGGTATGAGTCATCAGATGACACGCCAGGATCACTAGCTGAAGTTGAACTGACAGCGGCACTAGATAGCTGAGGCAAAAATCCCAAGGCCTAAGATGAGTAATCACGGCAACATATTTAGCTTAAACCAACCACCACTGGGTGCAGTGTTCAGTCCTCCGGACAGACAAATCATTGCGCAGATGCAAGGTGTCAGTGTGGTTTGTTGTTTCAAAATGCTTGCCTGGTGGTTACCTGGTTGGCAGTTGACACCACATTGTTGCATCACGCAAGCAACGCGTATTGCCGAGCGCAAGGTAGACAGCGGATGTGATGAAACATTGCATGTGACTCAAGCTCCGTGGCCCAGCGTCTGCCTGCCACATCAGACGCTGCTTTTTGTGCGGGGCCAGCAGTTTCTTCACCAAGTCAATAGTATTTCTAATATTTAGCTTGGGCGAAATCCTGCGCCACCAATGATGAATAGTTGAGATGATGAAACATTGATGGGACGCAACACGCACAAACTGGCCCCAAACATGTAAACCATAACGTTTGATTGGTTTTTATTTGATGCTTGACTGGCATTCGCACGATGGGTTCTGATTTTGTTTCCATCCTTCCGCAGATGCGACTAGAAATTGGCGCGCTGCCTCGGGTGAGCCAGTCTGAAACTTGCCAAATCAATATGTGAAGCGTGAGCAGCATGTTGATTTGGCAAAATCGTGTACCTGATTCATGACGGGTGGTACAATGTAGTACAACAAATTACCAGAGTGCAAGTATTCGGGCCAAATAAACCACCCGCCAAGTGGCGCTGGAGGTTGCGTTTAGTTCTCAGCGTCGGTGACAGACTGGCGCTCACGCATCAACAGCTACCGCACGCTTTGAGGCCGCCGACGCAGCAAGCTTGTATTTCTGGCGAGACGGTGTGTTGAAGAAAGAAACGCAAAGTGGAATGCCATCAGCTGGTCTGGCCATAACGCCGCACAAAACCAACAATGTATACGTGCCCATGGACACACATCGTCTGCAAACTCCCCCCCCCCTCTGCGAACAAGTGTGTCACGTGCGCGCAGCGTGCGGGTGTGTGCGTGTGTGTGTGTGTGCGCATTGCGCGCGTGCGTGCGAACTATACGCGCGGGCGCGCGTTCGCGCCGTACGCGCGCACTGCACGCGCGCACTGTACGCAAAAAGTGTGCGGCAAAATCTGCTGTGTTTTTTTCAAAATCTGCTGCCTTTTTTTTGAAAATCGGTTGCGGTTTTTCAAAATCTGCTGTGAGCTTTTTATACGTACGGTCCACACGTGTGGTGGCCGTACGGTACGGGGCGCGCGCGCGCGTAAGGTGTGTACGCGGGCGCGCACGCGCGAACCGTACACTCGGAGAGCGCGCGCGCTGTACGTACGCACCGTGCGCGCGCACTGCGCGTACCGTACGCGAACCGCACGCCCGGACTGTACGCAAAAAGTGTGCGCTAAAATCTGCTGTGTTTTATTCAAAATCTGCTGTGTTTTTTTTCAAAATCTGTTGCGTTTTTTTCAAAATCTGCTGTGTTTTTTGTACGTACGGTCCGCGCGTACGGTGGCCGTACGGGCCGTGTACGTACGTGCGATGCGCGCGCGCGCGCCGGAACCGCACGCGCGCGCACCGTGCGCGCGCGCTGTACGTACCGTACGCGCGCACCGTACTCGCGGACTGTACGGAAAAAGCGTGTGCCAAATACTTCTTTTTTAAAAAAAAACTGATGTGTTTTTTTCAAAATCTGTTGCGTTTTTTTAAATCTGCGGTGATCTTTCCGCACGTACGGTCCGCGCATACGGTGGTTGTACGGTATGGCACGCGCGCGTACGGCGCGCACGTACGTGCGGCGCGCGCGCGCGTGTACGGTGTACAGCGCACGCTCGCGGTGTACGTGTGCGGAGCGCGCAGTGCGCGTGTATGGCGCGCGTGAGACTCATGTCCGTTGCGCAGCCAGCGCGTTTAGCTGCTGATGCTTTTGAACCCAGCTTCAGGTCATTGGGTTTGCTTTGCTTTCTCAGTAACAAGAAATACCCACACTCATTGACTCCAATGTGAGGACGCGCCGGTTTTCCACAAGCGTACACTTAAGGGCGAGAGCTGCTCCAGATGCAGGCGTTGGGGTTCCAAAAAGACGATCAGATGACGGACCTGGCTGGAAACTGGTCCCCGGACATCAAAATATAGTATGTAGGCTTTGGCACTTGACAACCGTGGCGATGGTTGCTTGAATCTTTCTTTTCAGTAGGCTTTTCAGATTGCAGAACCTGTAAAGAATCACTCTACTCTAGAATCTGGAGCCCCGAACTTCATACTGGTCCGATTCACACTGGTTATATATGAGATTGATGTTTTTAAGGGCTGCCGACCCCACGCCAAAGGCATGTGTATGTGTAAATGCGTGGGTACTTAAGCCTGAAGCTTGTGAAACGTCTAAGCTGAATCCCTTGCAAGGGGCTTATCGGGTTGTTTCTTAGCTTGACGCCGGTGATATTGGTGGTGATGACCACTTCAAGAAAACAATAAACTGTTGTCTATGCACTCTAGTCTGCGGATCACTGCAACATCAACCCTCAATAAGCGGACAGGCGCTGGGAATGTCAGGCGCTAGTACACGTGCTAAACACCATTAGCGTCTGGGACAAAACGCTCTCAAAATGTTGCCCCTTCGCGTCGCCAGCGTCACCAGCAAATCCAAACATGACATTTGAATTGTAGAAACAAAACAAAAAAACAAATTGAGACTAGCGCAGTTCGGGCGGCTGTTTCTGTCGAGTAATCCAGGTGAGTATCCCGCGCAATGTGTTGAAATCGTTTTTCTTGACTAAAAACACTGGTGATGCTCAGGGTGATGACCACTGTAAGTAAACAACAAGTCGTTTCCTTTGCTAAAGCATTGGTGATGCTCAGGGACCTACTCTAGTCTACGGTGGCCTAGAAGGAATCGAATTCCAAAGGCCCAAAGGACAGTTTGCACTGCGTCACTTATGATTCCGATCTATATGCATATATGTGG